TCTGACCCTTGCCAGCTCTGATCTCAAATCATGCCTTGGCCAGTCTAAATTATCTCCCTGGATGCCTGTGCAATACTCATATAGTTTTCTCTAGTAATATGACCAAGTTTCCAAACGTATAGAAGATGAAAAAAGGGATTCTGTACATAACTTGTCATCTTCCCTCCTAGCACAGTTCCATTACATAGAAGAATCAACACACGACTTCAGTCATTCTATTCAGTCATCATAGATTGTTCAGCAACCACTTGCCTATTTCTGTGGTACAATGGGAGTCTATATCTGGGACTCTACTGCACTGCAAATAATAAATAATGATAGCTGGAACTTAAGGACAGAAAATAGTTATTTAAAATCATTATACATGTATCTATTTTCTACTCCAACTCTTTGCAAAGGACCCATTGGTGTTTTTCTGATAATGTTTTTCTGATAATGTCTTAGAGGAGTTTTTACCTTGTTCTTTGTTTTGTTTATGAATGTGGGAATAGAAAAACTATAAAGCACGTCCTTTTCCTCCTCTTGGATTTTTTATGAGTCTGTGGATTGAGAGCTGGATTTCATTTCTCTTTTTTTGTGGGAATTTACTTATAAAGTGAAGATGTTATCGGGTGGGAAGGTAATGTATTTGAACTGATGACAAGTGCAAATTAAAGAATCCATAAGAGAAAACACTTGCCTTGCTTTTCAAATAAGAAAAAATGTTTTTTGATAAGAAAAAACACTTGCCTTGCTTTTCAAATAAGAAAAAATAAGATGCAGCCAAACTTCTCATACCTAAAACCCCAAGACTTCATAATTCTGCTATCACCAACCCATTGTAAGTCTGGATTAATATAAAGAGGAAGTGTGGTCAGAATTGGGTCCACTGATGGAGATGAGGCTACACCTTAGTGGCCAGAGTACTAGAAAAGATCCACTGAGTTATCCCAGATTGCCAGTGTTTTGCTGGGCTTGCTTCATACACAATTTTCTCATTACTATAGACTTGAATTAAATGTATGTACTTCTATTAAAATAACATGGAAGGGGGGTAACAATACAAACAACATCAGTGGAAAAATACTATGATCCCAAAATAATTCAATAAGTAGGATTTTTCCCACTAGAAATTCCAGCTCTCAGGAACAATCCCCTTTCTCAAGCCTCAACCTTTGTACCTATCTTGAAAAAAGAATCTTTGTAAGCATGTCCTGAAGGTCACAAATTCTTGACCCCTTTAGAACAAGCATGGAATGTTTCATTGGTAATTCATATAGGCAGCTGGTCTAGCAGGTCAGCACAAAGGAAAAGCACCGTTGCCCTGAGCTTGGAATGACACAAGAGTTGTCTGAATGGGGCTGCTCAGGAAAGTTGAGACCAATTAACTAAAGGGCTATAGTCAGTGTGACTAAATTTAAAGTTCTCACTCAGGAGTAAAATTACTTTAATTTAAAGAATTCCATCCAAAGGAGATTCATGTGTCTTATACTTTAAAATGTGTGCAGCATCAACACACCTTTGGCTGATATTTCTTAACCTTAAAAGAAGGAGAACAGCAGAATTAAGATCCTGGATTTCAAAAAAGTAAACTTCAGCAAACTTAGGGAAATAATAGGCAGGATCTCTTGGAAGGCAAAAGGAGATCAAGAAAAGGGATTCATCCACTCTGTTTGCCAGTGGTGAGAACTCACCTGAAGTACTGTGTCCAGTTTTGGGCCCCACACTTCAAGGAAGAGATGGACAAATTGGAAAGAGTCCAGAAAAGACTGACAAAAAAGTGTTAGAGGTCTGGAAAACATGACTTATGAGGACAGTCTTAAATAATTAGATGTATTTAGTCTGGGGCAGAGAAAAGTGAGGGGAGATTTAATAACAATCTTCAAATACCTGAAGGGCAGTAATAAAGAGCATTGAGATGGTCTTTTCTCTGTGCCTGTAGGGAAAAGAGGTAAAAATAATGGTCTCAAGCTGCAGCAGAAATTTAGGTAAAACTTCCTGACTATGAGGTTGGTCAAGCCTAAGGGAACAGGCTATCTATATGAATTGTGGACTCTCCATCCCTGGACATTTTTAAGAACATGTTGAATAAACAGTTAGCTAGGGGTTTGGTCAGGGATGGTTCTGCTTTGAGCAGTGTGCTGGACTAGATGACCTCACAAAGTATCTTCCAGTTCAAGATTCCTATGACCCTACAGACAATCTCTACAAATGTGTATAGAGAAGTCCTAGGCCTGTCGCAACTGAAGTTGCTCTTTAAAACTTGAAGGTATTGGGTACCTTGCTGCTCAGATAGCATACAGACATTCTATAACCATTAAACCCATTTCTTGCAAGTCATGAGAACTACTGGAGTTGGATATGCCTCCCACCCCGTACTATTACTACACCATTAAGCTTTGTCATAAGTGTTCATGGCAAAGTGTTCTGTTTTGTCAACACAACACCAACCACCTTCTTATCCATTCACCAGTCCACCTCACTGCCACTACCAACAGCCCCAGTCACCAGTGATGAGCTGGGGCAGCACCCGCTCCTCTTACCCTGTAGAAATGTATATTTCTGATGTGATATATATGTAGTTTCATAGTTTCATAGTTTCTAGGGTCGGAAGGG